TAGATGTGAAGACCGAAGATGAAGTCGAATACTTATCGATTCAATAGAGTTTGCAACTAGTCGTGATACTGAGGATGGGCAAAACAATCTTGTTTTCATATACCTTAGCGTTAGTATAGAGTGAATAATCTACTTCACCACATTAAGTACCTTGCAGAGTTTACGATTTAGCGAAAGAATGAGTGTGCAAACAATAATCTCTTGACTACATTTCGTAACGTAACGGTGAAAGGAAAAATTTCATAATCATAATAAATAACCACAACTAAAACTTTTCAGACTATGATATTAGTTTCAAATTCTAATAATCACACTAAAATTTTGAAAACGTGGTCAATAGGAAAGTCAAAAAGTTAGATAATCGAATATATCGACAGTTAAAGTCTCCGTTGAGTGGAACGGTAACAGAAAGGTTGAACAGATGAATACTTCGTTAAATACGTGAAAAGTGAAATACTTGAACAGTTGAAACATTGAATAATTAAATGGCATGTAGATGCTCTTAGCCACTATACCATACAAAAAGTACTCTTTTACCTTTTTGCCGCGCGTTTTATCTTTTGTTATTCAATAAATCTTGATTATGTCTGTCATCAACTAAAGACTTATTCTTTAAAACCGCTTCGACATATGATATTTATTTAGCAAAATCAAGAACTAGCTTAATAGAAAATGTAATAGGATTTTATCGCACTAACTCTCAGTGTTTCTAATAGGAATCTGAAGTAAAATACCTTTCGGCACGTCGAATGTGTAGCCAAAGTACCATCTAGCACTTTGCTTTGAATGGCAAAGTACCATACTGTGCCACAGGTCAAAAAAACATGTCAAGAAAATATAGACAAAGTTTTTACGATTCATATATTTTCATGAAGAAATAGTTCAACAGAAAAAATAATGTAAACGAAGTAAAACATACCAACAACAATCATAATAAATACAGCTGTTTGCAAGAAAACTTTGAAATTTTTTTTTCAAGACAGCTATTTTTCTACTGTAACAAATGAATATAAAACTGATTTTTCCAGGAATAAATCCTTGAGAGACATACTACATGTTGTATATATAAAATTGTAATTTCTTTCCCGTTTCGTATATATTCGTTCAATTATGTCATCGCCCAGTAATTTGAGAAGTCACTATATTTCATTTTTGTCTTTCTGAAACAGGGACATACGATCTACTTCTCTTATTTATCGTGGACCAAATATACACCACTGAGTATTATTTATTACAAGCTTGACGAATTAAAACGAGATAGTCCACTCAAACATCAAGGCAAAAATGATCGACCACGTGTTCTTGGTGCAAAAGAGAAAAAGTAATAGGTCAATATTTTTGTTGTAATAATGAGAGTAGAAAAAATGAAACCAACAAATACTAGTGAATTCGAAATATTTTTAACGGAAGAACTCCTTAATATTGATAATAATTTTGTAGAAGATTGTGTAATGTCGATGAAAAAAACGATGTTTGTCTCTTACCGATAGAAGAGGCGAACGAATAAAATATTAAATTATGGTATTTAATATCAATAACTGTAGGCTGTCAGTTTTTACTCTAAATTTTGAGAAGACTCTTGTTTAAAGAAATATTATCTAGCAAGATGGGCGAGATCTATTACAAATATTCCAATATAATATTTACGGGAGAAATAAAAAAAGACTGATAAATTGCAATATTTTTCAGGTGAAATAGCAAAAAAAAGTGCAATATCTTTGACAAATAGTTCTGAATGTAGCGAATGAAACGAGATATTTCTATAATACCTAGTTTATAAGTCAATCAAAAGAATATGAAATTATAGTGTTATTTGGTACTCTTCGTGGGCTAACTACCATATTATACACTAATTCGAAAGGCACTGGTATAGGAGAAGATATTTGTAGAAGAAGGTTTCCAAGTTTTTTTGCAAACAATTGCAGGAAATAAATGTGCTAAGATAAAAATTGATAAGATAACCTGTTTAGTAAAAAACAATATGATCTAGAGAGAAAAAATAATCTCTACGACCTGCAGCAGATAATAAATTTCGAAGAAGAATGAACTATCTTGGTTCCAACTACAAGTAAAACGAAAAGAAAAGAAAGAAAAAGAAGAAAAGTAAATTATGGATAAGCTATAGTATAACCAATAAGCAAAGTACTTTTTTATTTAACAAAGTGCCACTCAGGTACTTTACTTTTTTCAGCAAAGTACCAAATACCGTGCCTTTTCAAATTTTACCGTGCCGCCGGCATTTTGCTAACACACTCGGCACGCGCTATTAGAAACACTGCTAACTCTACCAGCTATGATGAATTTCTTTGCAACTGATAAAACACAGGTGAACATATGTAAAACGTTGCATAGTATTCGAGACAATTCTTTTATACTGCCCGATTTAGTTAAGACTAAAACACAAGATTATACTAAATCTAGGGTGTGTGAGTATGAGTGCGGGTGTAGATCCAAGACGAACTGTATATCCACACCCATAACCACACCCACGCCCACACTCACCCACCACATCCACATCACATCCACCCACACTCACACGCACACCCACACCCTTCATTGATATATTGGCGAGGGAACATCCCGGGGTGTTCAAGCCGTTAAGACACCATCTTTTGGCGGGGTTTAAGACAGTTGCGCGCGGACATTTGATCGTATGAATAGTTACTCGAAAGGACACTTGCTCGTTATGATATTTGATCGCTAATGCGATAATCGTTCAATTGTAATTGATAGAATTCACAACAAAAGTAAGACAATTAATTAAGCTGTACGTATATATGATTGGCGATCCTAAGGGAGGGTGGGTGGAGTGAAGGTGGGTTTGGATGCTATACTTTTTTTTATATTCACATGCATATCCACACCCTCACCCATACCCACCCACACCCACACCCACACGTTTTCGAATTTTCTTATAGGATTATCAGTCGATTAAACATATCGATATCGTTCGTAACATTGTTTATTCGTCGTACCGGAGCATTTTTTTAAAGAGTTTTCGATTTATTACGCGTCTCTCTGTTATCAATTTTTTTCGTTTCGTTTAGTGTGCATTTTTTCTTGTTGTTTCTTGTTCTTGTCTCTGTCGAATGTGTGTGGACACACATTTATATTGGTTGAGAGGTGTTACAGTCATATCTTCATATGTCTTCACACATTCTGTTACATCTTATCTGGTTTTCGCTATTCACATTCTTTGCTTCTTTTTCTTTCTCTCTTCTGTTTTTGTTCTTCAATCGAATAAGATACTATGTGAAGTAGAATACTAAAAAGAATCCCGTTTTGACTCACTTTCGGATATTTCTCTTTTAGCATCTGAATTTCTTGCGTCTGAGTGTGGGTGCGAGTATGGGTGAAACTATAGAAAACATACCCACACCCATCAACACACTCAATATGGTATCGACGATCTACGGCTGTCAATAAAATTCATTTGGACGAATAACATAATTCCTTCCATTTTATCAGATTTTTGTTTCTTTTTTTCAACACATATTTATTCTTTACTACGAAGAATACAGTTTTCTATCAACAATATTTAATTGCACAGCACTTAAATCTATTTCATTTTGTATGGACTATTTTTCTTTCTTCCCAATAACATTTCTTATGTGTTGTAGACCTTCTATATCTTCGTTACAATCTTTACACATTCTTTCCTAATAAACTGCGTAGTTGAAAAAAAAGAAAAAAAAGTGACGAATGTTGTTACTTTTATAAAACAAGCTAAACGAATTATTCCGCGAAAAAAGCATTCAGTCACACGTACAACGCCATTCGAAAGTTACGGACTATTACAATTTTTTGAAATCATTTCATTTAAACAGTTTCATTCGGGTAAGTTTTACATTGAAGTCATTGGGAAAAAGAGATGTGTTCAAGTTTTGTGAGTTCTGAATCTTAAAGATTTGTGAACCTATACACCGACTAGAATCGACCGTATGTATGGAACTCAAGGAATCTAACAGAGTGTAGATATGAATAATATATACTCATCCACTCCATTCTCAGCACCACACGCTCTACATGAATTCCCTGCCTACTCTTCATTTTTTCGATTCCCAGTTTTCCTAACACCTCTGAGATCTATATGATACCTGCGTTCGAGACTTTTGATTGTTATACAACCTCCTTCATTTTTAAGAGTTCTCAAAATTTCTTTGTTCCTTTAGCTTCATGACTTTTTGATATTCTTGCAACTCGCACAAATTAATTACTTGTTCATTTTTGGGACTTATGTCAGCTTAGTGGGGTTCTTGAACTCTGGGAGTTCTCTGAGTTGGACGGATACGGTCTGTTATCAGAGTTTATAGGATTTTATTTAATTATGATCGTGACGTGTCTTTTTGGTTGGTTTATGAGTTTTGAATTATTGAAGAGTTCAAAACTGACGGAATTTGATCACCGCTGGGAAAGAAGTTAAAGAAAGTTGAGTGTGGGGTGCGACTGGGTGTCAATGAGAGAAGAACGTACACACATCACACCCACACCCACCACAGGTCCTTTCATAGGTGAGTATGTGTGTCTGTAACCCTTGTTAATCTAAAGAGAACATCCATCGTTCAGATGCACTTATCCACGAGCAAATCTGCGCCATTAGAGAAATTTTCTAAGACTCTTATGTTCGCTGGATTCATGTAGTCTACCATTCAAGTAAGCAAAACATAATGGAAGATGATCAACATGTGACATGACTACTAATTCGAAATGTCTGCAATATTCGACAAGTCTCGTCGGAAACGTCTTTCATATCCATCATGATTAGACACCGTTTAGAGAAATTTCTTTAAACACGCCTCGACTAGCTCAAGAACAGTCATCTTATTCCGCAATGTTGCACATTTCGGAGTCAGTGTCATCTATTTCTGGGAACTCTAACATCATTCAACAAACTGGAATTATTTAAAAACGATCTAGTTGCTACGATATTCGACGAAACTCCTAGGAATCATGACTAATTAAAAATGCAGTCAATTGCGAGAATTTTGGAAACTCAGGGAATGGGATCCTTGCCGAATAAATTGAATTTCCCGGATGATATTCGAGTTGCCGGGGTTGTATGGAACTGATTTCGCTATGTACACTATTGCGGAATAGGTAGTATTATCTTCGTTTGTTCTAGATTTTTCTTATCACTTTTGAACCTAGTGTGAACAATGCAATCAGTGGATCTCCATTCGAAGAATATCGGAGACAATGAGATGAGATCATTGGCTGACAAATTAAAAAATAACCAAGTAAGATGATTTAACATGATTTCATGGTTTATATGTATCTGTTCTAACATAGACGATGACTACATTGAATCTGTCGCAAAACCAGATAGGAAGTGTTGGAGCGCAATATTTGTCTGAAGTACTACAAACGAACAAAGTAATATCTTTTAACAATAATATTCATTATGAAGATTAACTTTCCCATAGGCATTAATGACACTTCACTTATCAAATAATGAAATAGGCGATATTGGAATGGAACATTTAAGCTATGGAATTCAAACTAACAGGGTAACATATTTGGCAACTACTTTTTCTAACTATGACTTTCCAATTGGCACAGGTAATTCGTGCACTTGTTCTTTCAAATAATCGAATTGGAGATATTGGAGTACAACACTTAGCAAATGCTCTTCAAAATAATACAGTGAGATATTTTCTCGATGAGTTTTATTAGTAGTTAAATTTCTTATTTTCATGTAGACGATCACTGACTTGAATCTTTCTGGAAATGATATTGGAAATATCGGTGCACAATATTTATCTGCCGTTTTACAAAATAATACAGTGAGAATTTTTCGATCACAGTCATCTAGAATCACCTTTTCTGTTTTTCAGACAATAGTTATGCTTGATCTTTCTAATAATCAAATCGATGACATTGGAGCACATCAGCTCTATGATTCATCGAAAAAGAACAAAGTTTGTTTTTCAAATAATGTCAACTCTTCGATCGATTGCTTTTTTTATTCAGACAATAAGGTGTCTCAAACTAACTTCAAACAAGAGCGTGTATTGTGATGCAGTTCAACATGCAATTAGAATACGCAATGATAAGGTCTTTTAAGCTCTCTATTTTTTCCTATAGTTTTAGTTTTTCGTCACACAGATGTGGAACCGTTTAGTTCTTTGCTGCAACAAATTCGGAGATAATGATATAAAACTGTTGGCTGAAGTACTACACAACAATAAAGTAATGCAAGTTTCTGACAAATCTTGTCCACTAATTATATACTTGTTCTGCTGTAGACAGTCACCGAATTGAATTTATCAGAGAATGAAATCGGGGACCAAGGAGTACAATATTTATGTGATGTTCTACGGAACAATACCGTAAGAAAAGATAGTTCGTACTTATTTCTTCGGTAACTATATTATTAATTTTCTACAGACAATCACTAAACTTGATCTTTTGGAAAATCGAATCGGAGATCTTGGTGTACAATGTCTTGCTGATGCTTTGCGAACGAACACAGTAATAATCAGTCTCAATCATTTTTAT